CTCATTGTTTTCTTTGTAGGGAAATGTATACTTCATGAACAAAAAAATTTAATATTTTTGGCTGTCAGGAACGGATTAATTGGATTTCCATTATTTCTTATGGGGAAAGTTAATTCGGCTAACGATAATTTCATCTAACAATAAGCTCTCAGGAATGGATTAATATCGTTAGCCGAGGGTCCACTGTACACTTAACCCAACGACAACATTTACGCATCAGTGATTTCACCCATTTTATGTCCTATTTTTGGCCCATTTCATTGTTCCAGTCTACCAAACTCATAGCTATTTCGCTAGTATTCCTTCTATCGAATGAGTACAAGAAACTGCCCATTCACCTATTTCAACTACCCAATAAAGTGGTCAGAAATCGGTAATTTGGCCAATTTCACACAAATTTCAAAAGACGCCATTTTCAAAATAGGGTCCAGAATAAACAGTGCAGACATTAAGAGTACTAAAATAACATTGTTCATTAGTCACATCTCCAGGCCTCTCTTATTATTATGCTTGCTTTCCATTTTGAATTTTTATTCACACAAAAAAATAGAAGATTTACTGTTATGCAGACTACTGCATTATTAATAACAAAAAAAAAAAAGGCACAATACCGTGACTGGAACGATACACAAATAACCCGCACATAAAAGAGAAGCATATGACGACGTTTTGGTCCAACTTGGACCATTTACAAAGTCACACTAACCAGAAATGGAGCAGGATGGCTATATATAGGCAGGAGGAGGAGTTGGTTGGTTGGTTGGTTGGTTGGTTGGTTGGTTGGTTGGTTGGTTGGTTGGTTGGTTGGTTGGTTGGTTGGTTGGTTGGTTGGTTGGTTGGTTGGTGGTGTGGTGGTGGTGGTGGTGGTGGTGGTGGTGTTGTGGTGGTTGTTTGTGGTTGTGGTGGTGGTTGTGGTTATTGTGGTTGTGGTTATTGTGGTTGTTGTTGTGGTTTATTGTGGTTATTGTGGTGGTTGTGGTTTTTTGTTGTGGTTGTTGTTATTGTGGTTGTTGTTGCAGTTGTTGTTGTTGTGGTTGTTGTTGTGGTTGTTGTTGTGGTTGTGGTGGTTGTTGTTGTTGTGGTGGTTGTTGTTGGCGGCGGCAGTAGTAGTAGTAGTAGTGGGGAATAAGGAGGAGGAGCCAGTCAAATACAAAGGAAAAGGAGCACTGCAAGGGAGCTAGGTGCCCACAGAGGGAGAGCAAGTGCACAGAGATGGGTGAAAGGGGAAGTGATGAAATAAATAAAGGAACAGAAACACGAGACAGAAGGAAGAAAGACAACCCAGAGGAGAAAAAAGGAAAGAGGAAAGGGGAAGAGGGAGAAGAAAAAGAAAAAGAAAAAATGAGGAGTCAGGTTAAGTGACAGGTGTTCTGAAGTTTGGAGCATTTTACAATGTAGTGGGAGAGGAAGGCATCTACAGAGACGAAGCCAGGACTAAGATTCATACAAGGAAAGTTGTGTATTAGAGAGGATTCAACTAGACGGCGACTGTTCGAGTTGGAAGTAGGGAAGACAGTTTTAGCAGAAGACCAGTCAATAGGATGGCTATGATCTCTGACGTGACAGAAAAGAGCATTGTTAGTGTCGGCAAGCCAAACACTATTTTTGTGCTCCCTAAGTCTGTCAGAAAGAGATCGACCAGTTTCTCCGAAGTATTGAAGAAGACAGGAGGAGCAAGAAATTAAGTAGACACCAGGAACATCTGTAGAGGGAGGAGAGGAGGTAATAATTGTATAAATAATGTCAACCCATTCGTGACTGCTTATCAGACTGGCCAGTTGGATATGTATTGGACGGTGACGTCATTTGTTTACTCTTGAACATCAGCAAAAATTTAACATTTCCACTATTTGAGCTCAATTTTAAGGTACTTTCCAGAGTGAAACCATTCAAAATTATACCTATTTCTGTAATACATCTTCCATCCTATCAACTGAGATCAAATAAACGAGAATACAGCTATACAAACCATACGAAAGTGTACCGCAAAGTTGGGTTTACACCATAAACACAGTCGCAGTTTTTTTTTATCATTATGCACTGCATACTGCAGAATTTTTCTTATATAGCGCATACTTTCCATACAAACCTATTCTCTCATATGCAGGAAAAATTTATCAGTTACAGCTTATTTGAATGAGCTGAGCTCATGGCGACCAACAGTGACTTCAAAGCCACCTTATCTTCTATGGACAATGTATGGTGTATGTGCTTTACACAATGAGAAGCATTTCTTTTATTCATTGGAAACATGGATAGGGCTAAAGGTGAGCAGGTTATAACAATAAATGGAGAAAAGAAATTGGAATGACTTATGCAGCAAGTAGTGCCACCAAACAGTAGCGGCAGGTTGGTGTGGTGACTCCGGAAATTTTAAGTTATTATTTTTTTTTATTATCACACTGGCCGATTCCCACCAAGGCAGGGTGGCCCGAAAAAGAAAAACTTTCACCATCATTCACTCCATCACTGTCTTGCCAGAAGGGTGCTTTACACTACAGTTATTAAACTGCAACATTAACACCCCTCCTTCAGAGTGCAGGCACTGTACTTCCCATCTCCAGGACTCAAGTCCGGCCTGCCGGTTTCCCTGAACCCCTTCATAAATGTTACTTTGCTCACACTCCAACAGCACGTCAAGTATTAAAAACCATTTGTCTCCACTCACTCATATCAAACACGCTCACGCATGCCTGCTGGAAGTCCAAGCCCCTCGCACACAAAACCTCTTTTACCCCCTCCCTCCAACCTTTCCTAGGCCGACCCCTACCCCGCCTTCCTTCCACTACAGACTGATACACTCTTGAAGTCACTCTGTTTCGCTCCATTCTCTCTACATGTCCGAACCACCTCAACAACCCTTCCTCAGCCCTCTGGACAACAGTTTTGGTAATCCCACACCTCCTCCTAACTTCCAAACTACGAATTCTCTTGGAAGTTAGGAAGAGGTGCGGGATTACCAAAACTTGTCCAGAGGGCTGAGGAAGGGTTGTTGAGGTGGTTCGGACATGTAGAGAGAATGGAGCGAAACAGAGTGACTTCAAGAGTGTATCAGTCTGTAGTGGAAGGAAGGCGGGGTAGGGGTCGGCCTAGGAAAGGTTGGAGTTATCCTAGTCGAAATTTGTGCCAGATTACCAATTGCCGGATTAGTGATGGCCAACCTGTATGCAGTACACTAATGTATAAACATTTAAAAATACACCAGAAATGTTATAAATGGTGCAAAGGTGATAATAAAACAATATCAAAGATGGTTGACACAAACTCGCTACCATTATAGCATGCTCCTCACTTAGTGATGAATTTGTTTACCAATGTGGTCTTAGGAACAGATCTCTGTCGTTAAGTGAGGAGAGGTTGTATTTTTGTATGGTTTAATTCTCAGTTTCTTGGTCTCATTTGATAGAATGGAAAATATTTTACAGAAATAGAGATGATTTTGATTAGTTTCAGGACAAAGTAGCTTGAAATTGAGCTCAAAGTAGCAGAAATGTTAAATTTTTGTCAACATTCCAGGGTACACAAAAGACGTCATTTGTCTAATACGCACACAACTGGCCAGTCTAATGCGCATTTCTGAATGCATTGACACTATTTACACAATTATTACAATAATGCAGTAGTCTGCATAACAGTAAATTTTCTATTTTTTTTTTTGTGTGAATAAAAACTCAAAATGAAAAGCAAGCATAATATAAGAGGAGCCTGGAGACGTAACTAAGGAGCAGAGGAAATGTTTATTTAATGTTAGGAATGTCTACACTGCTTATTTTGAACCCAATTTTCAAATCTGCCAAATTACCAATTTCTGATCACCTTATTGGGTAGCTGAAATAGGCAAACGGGCAGTTTCCTGTACTCATTCAATAGAAGGAATACTAGCAAAATAGCTATGAGTTTGGTTGACTGGAAGAATGGAACTGGCCAAAAATAGAGCGTACAGTAGGCGAAATTGCTAATGCGTAAATATTGCTGAGACTGCTAACTTTGGGAGAGAATGATTCCATAAGTTTTCTATCAAATTTCAGAAAAAGATTCTCTATCATTTCATAAGAAAAAATTACTTTTGTTTTTTACATTCTTTGACCCTGGGAGCAAGTTTGGGAGCAGGGAGCTGCGACACTGAGTCTAATGTGTCTAATAAGCCACAAAATACGGTACATCCAATAAGAAACAGCAGAGCTGCCAGGACAGTGTATTGGGGTACTCGGCTTTTTACCTCGCTGATGCCAGATTTTGCTATTTACTACTAGTCTGTGTTGTGTGTGTTAGAAACCTGAAAATCTATCTGCCTACCTTCCCAGTTGTGCCTATGGAGTTCATTTTGTGTGTAATCACTCCATGATTGCAGTTGTCAAATACATTTCCAAAATGTGTGTATATCACATCTGCATTTTGGTTTTCTTCCAATGCCTCCATAATTCTGTCATAGTGGTTAAAGAAGTTGTGACAGGCATGATCTTCTGGTTCTAAAACCATGCTGGTTTGGTACAACACAAAAGGTTTTTTTTTATTACTTTGTCTTTAAGGCATATATCTAGATGATGTTTGTAAGCTAAATAACTTTCACTTCAAAAAATATCCAGTAGACTATATAATAGGAACATCATACAATTCATGCAGCCCTAAAAAATCATGGTCTGTTGTGAGCACTTGGCTCATATTCTACAATACAGCTACATTATTTTAAATCAGTGAAAAATTTCATGCCATGCATTCGATACTATATTCCACAGATATTAGCAATCTAAGAAATGACACCCTATGAGAAATTTGGGGTTCTAAGTAAAATTTCATAAAACTAAACAATACTACAAAATAATAAGTACGTATAGCACATACAAGGTTGACTCTCATGCATATTCATACAACAGCAGCTTTGGTATTTGTACTAAATTCCTGAGAAAGCCCATTCAAATTGTTGAGCATATCTCTACAGAGGCAGCTTCTGAAACTGGTGCAGAGGGTGGGAAGAGAGTATATATATGCAGTAAGCATACCTTGTGGCGCACCTGGGAGTGGGCAGTCACGTGCTGGAGGACAGACGGGGGTGGTCCTACTCCACCCGGGGCCACCAGCCCACCCGCTCCACCTACAGCACGCCCCTCTACCACGCCCGACAGACCATCACCCTACCACAACAACAATGTCACGCACACACAAGCGTGCACACACATGCACACATACTAAAAGTTATAAGCCTGAAATTATTAATGCATAAAGCATTGCTCTTCATTTTAAGCTAGAATAGCTTATTTGGTTTGCCTAGCTGGCATTTTCTTCAGAGATAACAGACTACTCATAAGAAAATTATTAAAAGCTTTTATTTTACTATGCCAACAAAGCTAACCATAACTTTTTGTCATTAGTAATTTGGGTATTATTTCAATAGCTCATACCACATACTACGTATATTGTTTGTTATTCAATAATGAGTTGAAACTGAAAAATTCATAACATCTGAATATAATTTTAATAAATTTATCCTCATGGTACAAAAGGTTTAAAATTTTAAATACTGTACTAAAACTTCAAAGCATATTAACATCTTTGCAAAATATTCAACTACAGGCTGGCCATCACTAATCCGGCATCATTGGGACCTGTATGATGCCAGATTAGTGACTGCCAGATTACAGAGTGGTTAGGTTAGAATACACTTAACCCAATGGCGATATTTATGCATCAGCGATTTCACCCAATTTACACCCTACTTTTGGCCCATTCCATTGTTCCAGTCTACCAAACTCGTAGCTATTTCGTTAGTATTACTTCTGTAGTGCTGTTTAAATAGAGCAAGGTTTGTACAAGCGCTACACTGAACCTTCGCTTCAGTGCAACTCTTGCAAGGGTTCTTGCAATATCTGTTCTTGTTTCTGGTTTGTTATACAAAATAACTAGGTGGTTTATTATGTGCTAAAACCCATCGACTACACGATAGTCTTTAAGGATTCCAATGGAAATAAGTCACACTGACTTTTTTGAGTTACCCTAGGTTCTCTACACATATGCTGCTATGTATGATAATTTATGTAACTGTATTTGTGTATACCTGAATAAACTTACTTCTATTCTGTCGACTTAGTACAAGAAACTGCCCATTCACCTATTTTGACTACCGAAAAAGTGATCAGAAATTGGCAATTTGGTCAATTTCACACAAATTTCAAAAGATACCAATTTCAAAATAGGGTCCAGAATAAACAATGCAGACATTCCTAGCACTAAAATAACAACTTCTCTGAACAGTGGTAAAAAATTTAACATTTCTGCTACTTTGAGTTCAATTTCAAGGTACTTTTCATTGTGAAACCAATCAAACTCACATCTAATTCTGTAATATATCTTACATTTTATCAACTGAGAAAAAAAAAAAAAAAAGAATATAAAAAAAAACACACAAAAATATACCGCTAAGGGGCAGCTAATGGCTGAGAAGTGAACTCTGTTATTTATCATCCGATTTCTTTCATTTTTGGTGTACGCTAAGAAGCATCTTTCCATCATGTATTGCCAAAGTTTCAATAAGATAGTCAAAAAACAACAAATACAGTTACATAGATTATTATACAGAGCAGCATATGTGTAGAGAACCTAGGATAACCCAAAAAAGTCAGTGATTTATATCCATTGGGGTACTTTTATAAGGTTCTTTTGTGTTGTCTGTGAAATTCATTGCATTTCTATGTTAAGATATAAATGAACAACTTCCAAGATAATCAACAAAAAAGAATGCATATCATAGTTAGCTCTGCACTACACTGTTTTCTCTTAACCCTTTGACTGTCGCAACCCCAAATCCTGAAGTGTCTCCTGGTGTGGCAAAATATTTGGGAAAAAAAAAAAAATCTTGTGAAATGATAGAGAATCTTTTCCCGATGATAATGATACCAAAAGTATGAAATTTGATGGAAAACTTACGGAATTACACTCTCGCAAAGTTAGGGACCTCAGCAACATTTACGCATCAACGATTTTGCCCACTTTGAGCCCTATTTTCGGCTAATTCCATTGTTCCAGTCCACCAAACTCATAGCTATTTCCTTAGAACTCCATTTGTTCTATCGATTGAGTACAAGAACCCACCCATTTACCAATTTCAACTACCCAATAAAGTGGTCAGAAATTGGCAATTTGGCCAACTTCATGCAAGTTAAAAAACATGTCAATTTCAAAACAGGGTCCAGAATGAACAGTGCAGACATTCCTGGCACTAAGATAACATTTTCTCTGTTCATCAGTCATGTCGCTAGGCCTCTTGCTTTCTGTTTTGAATTTTTATTCACACAATAAAATAGAAGATATACTGTTACGAAGACTACTGCAATATTACAATATTACGTTATTACAAATAACGTCAACCAATTCGTGACTGCGTATTAGAATGGCTAGCTGGACATTTATTGGACAATGACGTCATTTGTTCACTCTTGAACATCAGCAAAAATAGAATATTTCTGCCACTTTGAGCTCCATTTCAAGATCCTTTTCATAGTAAAACTAATCAAAATCACTTCTATTTCTATAATACATTTTCCATTGGTAATAAGTAATACATATTTTATGAAAAAGAGGATAAATAAATATACAAGGTATGATGTAGCACGTAATGAAAGTAGTTTGTTAGATTATGTATTGGTGGATAAAAGGTTGATGGGTAGGCTCCAGGATGTACATGTTTATAGAGGGGCAACTGATATATCGGATCATTATTTAGTTGTAGCTACAGTTAGAGTAAGAGGTAGATGGGAAAAGAGGAAGGTGGCAACAACAAGTAAGAGGGAGGTGAAAGTGTATAAACTAAGGGAGGAGGAAGTTCGGGTGAGATACAAGCGACTATTGGCAAAAAGATGGGCTAGTGCAAAGATGAGTAGTGGGGGGGTTGAAGAGGGTTGGAATAGTTTTAAAAATGCAGTATTAGAATGTGGGGCAGAAGTTTGTGGTTATAGGAGGGTGGGGGCAGGAGGAAAGAGGAGTGATTGGTGGAATGATGAAGTAAAGGGTGTGATAAAAGAGAAAAAGGTAGTTTATGAGAGGTTTTTACAAAGCAGAAGTGTTATAAGAAGAGCAGAGTATATGGAGAGTAAAAGAAAGGTGAAGAGAGTGATGAGAGAGTGCAAAAGGAGAGCAGATGAAAGAGTGGGAGAGGCACCGTCAAGAAATTTTAATGAAAATAAGAAAAAATTTTGGAGTGAGTTAAACAAGTTAAGAAAGCCTTGGGAAAGTATGGATTTGTCAGTTAAAAACAGAGTAGGGGAGTTAGTAGATGGGGAGAGGGAGATATTAGGTAGATGGCGAGAATATTTTGAGGAACTTTTAAATGTTGAGGAAGAAAGGGAGGCAGTAATTTCATGCACTGGTCAGGGAGGTACACCATCTTTTAGGAGTGAAGAAGAGCAGAATGTAAGTGTGGGGGAGGTATGCGAGGCATTACGTAGAATGAAAGGGGGTAAAGCAGCTGGAACTGATGGGATCATGACAGAAATGTTAAAAGCAGGGGGGATATAGTGTTGGAGTGGTTGGTACTTTTGTTTAATAAATGTATGAAGGAGGGGAAGGTACCTAGGGATTGGCAGAGAGCATGTATAGTCCCTTTATATAAAGGGAAAGGGGACAAAAGAGATTGTAAAAATTATAGAGGAATAAGTTTGAGTATACAAGGAAAAGTGTACGGTAGGGTTATAATTGAAAGAATTAGAGGTAAGACAGAATGTAGGATTGCGGATGAGCAAGGAGGTTTCAGAGTGGGTAGGGGATGTGTAGATCAAGTGTTTACATTGAAGCATATACAGTGGACCCCCGCATAACGATGGCATCACATAGCGATTAATTCGCATACCGCTTGCTTTAATCGCAAAAATTTTGCCGCGCATACCGATTAAAAACCCGCTCACCGATTTTCGTCCGAGACGCGTCCAATGTGCGGCCTGAGCCACGCTCACATGTTCCGCCGGTGGCATTGTTTACCAGCCAGCCTCCGCGGTAACATCCAAGCATACAATCGGAATATTTCGTATTATTACAGTGTTTTCGGTGCTTTTTCTGGAAAATAAGTGACCATGGGCCCCAAGAAAGCTTCTAGTGCCAACCCTACAGCAATAAGGGTGAGAATTACAATAGAGATGAAGAAAAAGATCATTGATAAGTATGAAAGTGGAGTGCGTGTCTCCGAGCTGGCCAGGTTGTATAATAAACCCCAATCAACCATCGCTACTATTGGTGGTACAGCTGCTGCTGCTGCTGCACTGTCAGCTGCTGCTGCTGCTGTAGCATTGTCTGCTGCTGCTGTAACATCGTCTGTTGCTGCTGTAGCATCGTCTGTTGCTGCTGTACCACCGTCAGCTGCTGCTGCTGCTGTAGCATCGTCTGCTGCTGCTGTAACATCGTCTGTTGCTGCTGTAGCGTCGTCTGTTGCTGCTGTACCACCGTCAGCTGCTGCTGCTGCTGTAGCATCGTCTGCTGCTGCTGTAACACGTCTGTTGCTGCTGTAGCGTCGTCTGTTGCTGCTGTACCACCGTCAGCTGCTGCTGCTGCTGTAGCATCGTCTGCTGCTGCTGTAACATCGTCTGTTGCTGCTGTAGCATCGTCTGTTGCTGCTGTACCACCGTCAGCTGCTGCTGCTGCTGTAGCATCGTCTGCTGCTGCTGTAACATCGTCTGTTGCTGCTGTACCACCGTCAGCTGCTGCTGCAGCATCGTCTGCTGCTGCTGTAACATCGTCTGCTGCTGCTGTAACATCGTCTGTTGCTGCTGCAGCGTCGTCTGTTGCTGCTGTACCACCGTCAGCTGCTGCTGCTGCTGTAGCATCGTCTGCTGCTGCTGTAACATCGTCTGTTGCTGCTGTAGCATCGTCTGCTGCTGCTGTAGCATCGTCTGTTGCTGCTGTACCACCGTCAGCTGCTGCTGCTGCTGTAGCACCGTTGTTGGTGTGGCTTATTGAGAATACCAAGAAACAATTAACCCAGAGGATTTGCCACCCAGGATAACCCAAAAAAGTCAGTGTCATCGAAGACTGTCTAACTTATTTCCATTGGGGTCCTTAATCTTGTTCCCAGGATGCAACCCACACAAGTCGACTAACACCCAGGTGAACAGGGAAAAATGCCTGGAACTAGTGCTCATATTGGTGAATT